AGGTCAGGACTCTACAGTTTACACTCATCTACAAGTCAGGACTCTACAGTTTACACTCATTCTACAAGTCAGGATTCTACAGTTTACACTCATCTACAGGTCAGGACTCTACAGTTTACACTCATCTACAAGTCAGGACTCTACAGTTTACACTCATTCTACAAGTCAGGATTCTACAGTTTACACTCATCTACAGGTCAGGACTCTACAGTTTACACTCATCTCCAGGTCAGGACTCTACAGTTTACACTCATCTACAGGTCAGGACTCTACAGTTTACACTCATCTACAGGACAGGGTTAGGGTTAGCAGAAGGTGTGGATCAGGCCCCATCAATAAGTCAGGTGATGGGTCACATGACCCTCTATGAACAACAGATTTAATCAAGCCTGTTGTTGGCTGATGGTCCTCTTTTACATGTGACTAACCTGTTTGTCCATGTGGAGGCGGAGCTTATAAGGCTGAGTTCACCTGAAACTCATCAGACTGAAGAAGTCTCTTGGAGGAGAGACGAGATGTTTGACTGAAAAGGAACCATCCAGAGGACCTGCTGATTGTTTCTACCTGGATTAGTGATGGATCAGTAACAACCCTRACCTAACCTGATGCATCAGGGCACRTTAGAGAAAACAGTGTGTGAAAACACTAAATATGAATAAGTATAATTTAATGACTTTAATGCTTTGTTTAGATCCACATGACAGAAATAAATTCTGAAAATATCAAAATGAACCAAAAGACAAAGTTAGGTGTCAGGAGACACACAAGGTGAAGAAGTGACTGAGGCTGCCAGGTCCAGAGGTTTATTTCAGAGACTGAGAGAGAGAAATAACTTTACAGTAAAAATGACATCCTGCTGTGTAAACCAGGGCAGGAGCAGGGCCATTTACAGCTGGGGTGCTGCGTGATGTTTCTGGTAGTAGCTGAGAGTACTTACTCCAAGCTCTAACATGATGTGAGGTCTTTGTTTTATATTTCGACCTGCAAGTCCACTTTAAAAATAGCCGGGTTATCCCTTCATTTAGCAGCGCTCTGACGGCTGCTCCAGCTGTTTGCAGGTGATGTTCCACACACGGTGCATCCTCCAAAGACAGTTTTAAAAAGAATGATAAAAACAGTTGTGTGTGCAACAGGTGGAAATGATCAGTCTGAGCGGAGTCTTGTCTTCTGCTGCAGCTTGTTATAATGACATGCAGCACGTGGACAGGAGTCACTTCACACCTCTGTATGCACAGCTCACATTTGTAGGACTTCCAATGCAGGAATATAAACAATTAGGAAAATAAATAGGTGGATATGGAACTTTTTAGGCAAATTGAGTGATTCATCCTAATAAACCAGTTCACCCAGAGAAGAAAACATTGAGCTGCACATTGGTTCTTCTTCAAAAAGTGCGTGTGTGCATGTGTGCATTCATGCGTGTGTTTTAGCAGGAGAAATAGCCTAGTGTGGCATGTGTGCGTTATGAAATGTGCATGTCTTACAGTCAATGAGTGAGAGTTGACAGCCCTGGTAATGACATCATTTGTGCTAATGTAGTGAAGTACAGTCAATCTACATCACTGCTCAGACCACATGACTAACAATTCAGAAGCAGTAAGTCCTAACTAACACTGGTAACTACCAACTGTTAGCTACCAACTGGTTACTAAGACCTGGTAACTACCAACTGTTAGCTACCAACTGGTTACTAAGAACTGGTAACTACCAACTGTTAGCTACCAACTGGTTACTAAGAACTGGTAACTACCAACTGTTAGCTACCAACTGGTAACCAAAAACTGGTAACTACCAACTGTTAACCAACAACTGGTAACTAACAACTGGTAACCAACAACTGGTACCTACCAACTGTAACTATCAACTGGTAACTAAAAACTGGTGACCACCAACTGGCAACTACCAACTGGTAACCAATAACTGGTAACTACCAATTGTAACACACAACTGGTAACCACCAACTGGTAACCAACTGCTGACAACTACCAACTGGTAACCAACTACTGGCAACTACCAACTGGTAACTAACAACTAGCACCTACCAACTGTAACCAACAACTGGTACCTACCAACTGGTAACCAACTACTGGTAACTACCAACTGGTGACCAACAACTGGTAGATAACAACTGGTGACAAACAATTGGTAGCTAACAACTGGTGACCAACAACTGGTACCTACCAACTGGTGACCAACAACTGGTAGCTAACAACTGGTGACCGACAACTGGTACCTACCAACTGTAACTACCAACTGGTAACTACCAAATGGTGACCAACAACTGATAGCTAAAAACTGGTGACCAACAACTGGTACCTGCCAACTGTGTACCAACTGATAACTACACACTTGTAACTAAACCCCGGTAATTTACAACTGTTGAATAACAACTGATAGTTAACATCTGGTAACTAATAACTAGTTGCTAGCAACTGGTAATTAACAAATGGTGGCAACAACTGGTAGCTACCAGCTGGTAACCAATATCTGTTAACTAACAACGGGTAAATAAAAATGGTAACTAACAACTGGTAACTACGACCTGGTTGATAACAACTGATAACTAACAACTGGTAATTAACAACTGTTAACAACCAACTGGTAAATAAAAACCAGTAACTAACAGCTGGTAACTAACAACTGGTAACTACCAACTGGTTGCTAACAACTGGTTACCAACAACTGGTGACTAAACTGGTCATTTACAACAGTTAAATAACAACTGATAGTTAAGTGGTAACTAATAACTGGTTGATAGCAACTGGTAGCTGACAAATGGTGGCAACAACTGGTAGCTACCAACTGGTAACCAATAACTTTTAACTACCAACTGGTAACTAACAACGGTTAACCAACTGGTAAAAAACAACTGTTAACTACCAACTGGTAACTACCACCTGGTTGCTAACAACTGGTGGCTAAAACCTGGAAACTAACAGCAGCTGTCTGTAGGCGCAGATGCCCTTGAAAACCAGAACCTTGTGGATCACCTCAGAGACCAGAATCTTTAGAGAACAGTACCTGGCAGTTCCTCTCAGTGACCAGGACCTGGTGTTAATGTGATGAGACTAGAGACAGTCTGACACAGAGGACTGACAGTAAACTGCCGCTCTAATAAGTCAGAAACAGCAACCGATCACACTTTGCTCTCTACTCCCCTCAGTCCCCATTGGACTCTGAAACCTTCTCAGCTAGGATCTCCTGGAAAGTGGAGAGCTGTTTCATTTGCTCTGTTTGCATTGAGTGTCTTCTCATCAGCTTCTTCTTCATCTTGAACTCTGAGCCCCGTTTGGGCGAGGTCGGGGCCACTGGAACCAGGATCTTGTGTCCTGAGTGAACCGGGGAGGTGGACTTGCCTATGGCCCGAATATCAGGGATGGGTCTTTGGGGATTGACGTTGAGTGGTGGCAAGAAACCAGGTCTGGTGTGGGAGATGTGGTCCAGCAGCAGGGTCCCGGAGCCTCGACGTTCTAGGAGACCTGGGGGACGGCGTCGCATGGTGATGGGGGACACAGAGTTAGGAATGTTCTCCAAAGACTCCCTGGAGGAGCTGGTTACCAGGGACAATGGGGAAGCATTGTACCTCCTGCGTTCAACAGACATACGTCCAGAGTCTGGAGATCCAGGGATGGACTCTGGAGACAGATGGGTATCTGACTCATAGTGCTCCATCCGGATGAGTTTGGGGTGAGTCAGAACTCTGGTCCCTACTGCCCCAGACACTACAGCGTTATCCTGTGGCTCTGGGGCAGTGTTTCTCCGGTATAAAATCTGGTGCTGCTGAACTTTGTCAGCCCAAGATGGAGCAGAAAGTCCTGCACAGTCCTCAGAGCAGGAACGGTCAATAGATTTGGGAGAACAGGGGTCATGGGTCTCAATGCTGTGTCTTCGTGACAATGGAGGTCTGACTGGTTGTGAGATAGACAGACCGTTCATTTCAGTGGACATCTTGCTCAGGTCACTGCTGACTTCTTCCTTCAGATCTTGGTCTAGCTGATTCTGAGGAACTCCGCTCAGAACTGAGGGTGCCACCAGTCCCCAAGGCTCAGAGTTCAGCCTCTTTAGCAGCTTGCGTGGAAGTAACCTCTTTTCACCTGGAGGTCGAGTAGAAGGTAAAGGTAGTGCTGAGGTCAGTGCAAAATTAAAGATCCCCTCCTGGTCTTTGGTCGTGGTTACTGCAGGCGAGGAGGTTCCGATCTCCACCTCAGAAGGTGACATGCAAGCAGGAGACAGTTTGTCTACAATACCTGGGGAGGGAGGTGAGTTGAGATATTGTTTGGTCTTCTTGGTGCCTGATGGAGACGTGTCCGTGGTTATGATGATCACCTCTTTACCTCTGGCCTTGCAGGCATCTAGCAACACCTGCAGGGTTTCACGGTCTCCTGTGTTGATGGCGTGGATGAGGGCAGAGGCACCAGAGTAATCTTTGAGGCTTGGATCAGCTTTGTTGTCCAGTAACAGAGACACCACTTCCTTCCCTGCCTGTCGGGCGCAGGCGTGCATTAGTGCTGTGCGTCCAGTTTTGTCTGGAATGTTAGGGTCAGCTCCTTTTTCCAGCAGGTACCGGACCATTCTCTGTCGGGTCTGTAGGTCTTCGTAGCTCGCCAAGCAGGCTGCAGAGATGGGGGTCTCCCCACGCTCGTTGCCCTCGTTGATGTAGGCCCCGCCCTCCAGCAGCAGACGAGCAAGGCGCAGCTTTCCCTGGAAGACGGCTTTGAGGAGAGCATTCCCCTCGGTCTGCAGGGGACCTTCATCTCCCATGATCCTTTGCCTCTCCTCAGACCCCAGGCCTACTGGAAGCTGGTTAGTGCTGACTGATCATCCTCTACGATAAGTCACATGACCTGCAGAGGAAACATACCACATAAGTCATGTGATCACAGCTGAACAACTGTGGTCATGGAGGAAAGGTACAAGCTGCACTGACTTCCTGGAGGAAGCAGGTTGATGGCTACTACCAGGTTTGTTTTTACAAACTACTTGTTCATTTGGTCTTTAAAGTGTTTCTAATATATTTGTCCAAGTATGTTGATGTAAAACCTTTAGACTGGATGATCAGCGCACAGAGGGACATTTTCAGCCGTTACCTTGGAACTGGTGAGTCTGACTTGTTTGTTTCTCTTGTAGCAAATTCAGTGTTTGTTTTACATTGTGTGCCACTGATGAATTATGTGTTGCTTTGTTCCGTGCAAACACTGTAGAATAGTATTCCTTGTATGTATTCCTTTTGAATTTGGGATTTGTTTAATTTTGGATTTATATTTGATGTGTGCACATGATCAAGCTTCTACTCAAGTTAGACTTTATTAGTTTGATCTGTAGAACCTTACAAGTCCTGTTTGTCTAACACAGGCCAGGTAGACTGAATGAACTGTGGGAACTTGGATTTCTTCAGACCTTGTCAATCATCTCAGAGGTGCTGACCAGATGTTCATAGTAACTAAGTACATTGACTTCATTACAGTACCTAAGTAGGTTTTTTTTGAGGATTTGTAATTTTACCACATATTTTTAAACAGCTGCTTTTACTTTTATTTCATTACATTTTAAAGCTAAAAACGATACTTTTACTAATTTACTTTAAAATGTAACAGCTAGTTACTCGTTACAAATGAAATCTGTTTGAACTCATCATGAAAGATGTTTCTGCTCTAAAAAATGAAGAGTTGAATTTACTCAACAACTGGCTCCACTAAACCTAGTTGAGTAAATTGAGCAAGGAATCAACACATATTGTTCAGTTTACTCAACCTGACTTAGTGGAACCAGTTTGCTTCAGAAATTCAACAGTTTATTTCTTAGAGAGCGGAACAGTACTTTTACTTTCTCAATTTTTGTGAACAGTTTTATGACTTTTACTGGACTAGTTTTCTCATGAGCGAAATGTATTTTTACCAAAGTCATTTTCTGTTCATGTAATTTTACTTTTACTTACTTATTGTTTTCAAGTACTTCATAGAGCTCTGTAAAAAACCAAGAAGGTGATACATTAGTCTGCCAGAGATGAATGCTGCATGGCTGATTTGATGACATCATCAAAAGTCAATACGGCTTTTTAAAATTTAAACCAGTAAAAAAAAAAAACTAAATCAACTCCTGGTTTGTTTCATTATTTTCACTTTGTGTGATAAGATCGGTCCTGCAGCCACTTTAGGCTGACATTTTAAAACCATTAGGACAGGACATGGGCCTGGGGACTAGACAGACTATTTAAAACAGGACTAGACATGGCACCAAGGACAGGAAACAGGACTGAAGACACTGAGGCAGGGGCGCTGCCAGGGGGGCCGTGGACCCCCATAAAAATTTGTTGGCACCCTGACTGGCCCCCCTGTTTTGCCCTCTTGAGTACCCAGGTTTTTCCTTTTTCAAATACGAATAAAAGAACCTCATGAATACATAAACAAATATTGTTTTTAATAATTAAGAGTTAAAAACATATATATATATATATATA